TCCAAATCTAGGAAACCAATTAGGAGATGAGGGAGAAAAGCTGCTGTGATGTTCACATCTATCAACAAAAAGTGGATGAGGAAGGAGGAGATGCACTGTTTCTAAAGTTTTTAATGTAATAACCAGAAGCAACTACTTCAGTTTGCTATTTAATAAAACCTTGGGCTTTCAACATTCAAAATACTGGAAAAAGAAAAGAATTATGTAATGAAGAATTAGCAATATAAGTTTTATTTAATCTCATTTTGATTCAATGCCAGGTTTTATCCAAATATGTAGAAAATGAGTAAAACTGTTCACCTAAGTTGTAAGTATCTCGTTCAACCCTCCCAAGCATTAAAGTATAAACATTAAAAATCTAAATAAATATAAACTATAAAAATGCTTAAATAAATTGCTTAAATACAAAAATGTATTCCATGCATTCATAAATTCTTGCCGGTAATGAGAAGTACAGAAGTCTGCTGGTAATCATTTCCTTCTCTTGGAAATAATTACAAGATAAAAATATAAATAACATTAAAATCACTTCCCTGTTTGTTATTAACATAATAACCAGTTAATTAAATCACTCTGGCTTACATCAGTGCACTCTTTTTACGTGATGTTGCAAATATAACAGTATAAATAGTTTTATAATAAATAAAATCAATAACTTAAGTCATTCATCTTTTAAATATTAAACTAGATCATATAGCTATGAATAGGAGAGCAGTACATTGTTAGCATTGTTCCTGGCATCAAACTGATGATAAATGATGGACGGTCACACAGCAAAGCTTTAGGATCCTGCAGGTATTTTGTCACACTGACATATTACATTTCTCCTGAACTGTACATTTTTGTTGTGTTTTGCATAAATTGTTCATATTTCTCCAAAACCCGCCAGATGTACATCTTCTTCTGTGCTGTCCTCATTGCCTGGATGTCGTTCCGAATACTCAGCAGAAGGTCCTTGTTCTTGCAGCTGTGAAGCGCATCTCTTTCAAGCAGCGTCATGTTCAACTGGATGGTGTTTACGTTCACAAAGGCAGTGAAATTCTTACCACAAATCATTTCTATATCACTTCTTAGGGTTTCTAAAACATTGTAAAACGTGTGCATGCAGCAGTCTGCTTCCGCAGCTGGGCATGTGGGTATTTTCTTCATCATTTCATTGACTTGGGTGTCAGCAGTTAGCCAGGTTTTGGTTGCTTCTGTTATAGGACTGCATCCATTCTGCAGGGGAGGAAGAGAGACTGTTATTCTTTTGGTTTCCATCTTTCCTGGTAGTTTCCATGTTAGACTATCTAGGAGTATTCAGTTGTGTCTGCTTGAGATTTTGTTGTTATTGTTCAATAGCTGTATTAACACCTACTGTCCTTTAAGTCTTGCACACTATCTGTGACTGTGCAGCACTTTCTATCTTAATAATCTACTTGTCATTGTTTTTGGCACTTCTAAGTCTTTTTGTTGTTGGCATACAGGTAAAATTTCATCATGCTTTGACAGTGTTTTTATCTGTTTTAGCAGAAAAGGTTTAGATTTCAAGAATGAATTCAGGGGAAGTGTTTTATGCTGATTTTTTATCAGTGCGTTCCTGGGAACACGTTCTCAGGAATTGAAACTTGCCTTCAGCACTGATCCCTCAATTCAGTTCATGTTTTTGCTGTCTCCAAGGAAAGGCTGAGCAGGATTTTTTTCAGAAGTGCCCCTGGCTGCCCTAGCATTATGGTCAAACTGAAGAGTAAGGCAGTCCTCTCTGTCTACCCAGTTATCTGACTGAGCACTGACACTGGTTTCATCCACAAAGCTGCCTGCTTCAAGCTCAGTGGGAAGTAGGAGATGATGAAAAATGCATGAATCTGGAAGGCGAGAGCTGCCTAACCATCCTAGACAGTGCTCCAACTCGATCGTAAGGTAACGTGATATAAATGCCTTCCTCCTTATATGGGCTATTGGGAGGTGCCTCTTTCAGGTTCTAACCCAAATATTTATTTTGAGCTGGTCTTTCTATTACTATTTTAGAATAATTCAAGGGATTCCTCCACAGTCATAGGCCCAGAAAATGCAAAATAGTACACTTACGTAGTTTTTGAACAAGGTAGTTGCTCGCTTTTCGAGGACTAGAAGGGGCTTTATGCTGGTAGTATATTGCTTCTGCCTCTGTCCTATAGTAGTTTTCCCTTCTTCTGAGGCAGCTCTTGGTGCCAAGGAGACCAAAGGAGCCAGAGAACAGGAGAGGAAGATCGCAAATATGATTTCTGCATTCAATTGAAGAAGAGGAAAAAAAAAATACACTGAGTACAGTCTCAAACCTCTACATCATTTTTGCAAAACTCACTGGTTTTGTGCACCACACGAGCGTTCTGGAGCATACGGACTTCAAGCACCAGAGTGAAGGAGGAGCATCACCCATTGTAGCTGTGCAGCAAGGCTAAGTTGCACCCACCTGCTCGGCGTTCCATGGTGGCTCAGGCAGCAGGAGTCTTGTGAGATGCTGGTGTTCAAGCTGCTTGTTGGCTGGAGAGCTGTGGATGGGGACAGCTAGGTGGTGTTTAAGTACCATGACTTTTGCGTCAGTGGTTCTCTGTTTTTTTGCGGATGCTGGTGTGGGTTTTTTTCTTTTCTTGAAAGATTGCATCAAAAGTTGGTTCAAATGCGTCGTCACTGATTGTGATCTAGAATGCAGTTTCGAGCTGACACGGATGGTGTCTTGTATCATCAATTTGACTAGGAGTTCAGGATGCTTGGCTTAACCATCCCGTCTAAATCCTTGGGATCTCCAAACGGTACAATTTAGAGCATGAATTCTGTTGTGTTCTTCCTCAAACGTGATGAAGTGTGCAAGTACACAACTGGGTTCCTGAAGGCAGCAACAGTCTCCTGCAGGGGCCAGTGCAAGAGTGGGCCAATGCTGGATGCGAAAGAACCCACGAGGGACTCGTATGCAAGGCAGATCAGGCTTTGGATGAGTGTGCATAACCCTAGCTGGATCTCCATAACACCTCGTGTACCAGATGTAAGCCCCTGAGGCATGCCAGCAGAGGATGCCCAGGAACCACCTCTCAGCTTTTCGCCTTCTCTCTGACTCTGCTGAGGCTGTTTTCTCTGTGCCCAGGAGAACCTTATATGCAGCAAAACAGAAAGCCTGTTCCTAGAACTCAGAAACACGAGCCTGTGATCAGAAGAGGAGTTGCAGATCTGCTGATATTTTAGGACAGAAATTGAAGTAGAGGAAACTCTCATGAGTACACCTTTGTGAAAAGGTCGAGTGACAAGCTTTCACTTGTACTACTATGACTAGAGAAGTAGAGAAAAGCTAGAAAGTAGTGAGAGATTCAAAGACAAATGCATGCCAGGTCCAGAAAACTTTCAAGGAGCAACATTTCGGGAGTTAGTGTTTTCTGTGTGAAATTATCCATCTGACAATGAAAGGCCTGACGTACATAAGTTCCTATGGTCTCAGGAACTGCTTACTAGGAATGAACTGATTCCAAAAGCTTGAAAGGGAAAGGCATTTCCCCTGTACCATGTTGTGCTCAGGTCCAACTGGGCTGTAACTTCAGCCTCAGTGGTTGGCCTAAGGCCATGTTACTGAGCTTCACAAACCCAACAAGGTTCTTTTACTGCTCTCAGCAAGCCTGGGACTGAAGCAGAGGGGTGCAGCCAACCCATGGTGTTGAGCTGCTCTGTCTGGGAATAGGACAGTGTTGTTGCACAACCTGTGTTCCTGGTGCTAAACAGAACAAACAGAATATGTTATCATGGCCTGAGACGTGATGTACGAGTACCGTAGAGTGCTGGAGAAGAAGCAGGACAGCACAGTTCTGGCAGAGACTTCTTTTATTTAGAGTTACGTGTTATTTGGAGGTACATATTTCTTTGCAGAAGGTTGCCTTTAGGAACATCTCAACAAAGATACTGATGAGTATGGGTGGCTCCTTTCTGGTAGGAGGACTGCATCTTGGAGGGATACTTGTTTGGAAGTGCAGAAATGCAGTTGGTGAGATTCCTCATCTGCATTGCAACAGCAGGAGGCCATCAGGCACTGCCAGTCCCTTCCAGTGGCCCCAGGTGGGTGCCACAGGGGAGATGGATGAGGAACTGCAGCACTGTTCCTCCTGATGCAGCAATTAGTTCTAGAACCAGTTCTAGATTATCCCTGACGCAACTGCAATACAAATAAAGGAGGCTTTCATCTTGGCTTTTCTGCAGAATAAAATTCAGCCACTGGCAATGCTCTTTCAAAGAACTATAGAAAGTTTGACTCATTTTCTACTGGACTGAGGTTTGCCTGGTTATTCTACTTCATGCCATGCCCCAGTCTCATGCACGCTGCGCTTGTCCTTCCCTATCTGTGCAGCTGTGATAAGCTGCTGAGCTGATAAGGGAGCAGATTGATATCCGTCCTGTAAAACCCTGCATGAGTGGAAGTTCAGCTTTCCACCACATAATTGCTAGGCGCTGCAGAGCATCTGCAATTCATTTGGTGAAATGTTGCTGACATGGGTCTGAACACTCCCCAGAGTGGAATCTGCAGCCGTCACCTCCACACCTATCACTGGAAAAAAACAAAGAATCCTCTTGAGTGCAGAGACCTGAATCTGACCTCAGACAGAGCTGGGGCTTTTGTCCTGACGGGCAGCTACTTTTTCCAAGCAGTACTTTTAGCCATGAACTCGGTTTTCCAATAAGGTGCTTTTACAGCTTGCAGCTCACAGAGAACACGGCTTCTTCCTCCCTGAAACTCGAGTGACACTCAGGATATAGATAAGTGAAATGGTAAATGCCATGTCTCAGGTCCTCGGCCGGGGAACAGGGCGATGCTGCACCCCATGCATGCCTCCTGCTCTTTTCTTGCTGGGCTGCAGCCCCCAGAGCCTGGAGGAGTCCCTCAAAGCCTGGGATTTCTACCCAGCTTGCAGCCCCATAGAGCGCAGTCCGCAGTCCCCAGGACATCCGTGTCTGTGTCATTTCCTAGCGACGGGACGCGTTGCCAAGAGCCAGAGAATTCCTGCATGGCAGCGCCCGGCCCTCACAGCCTCTCGGCTGCTTTTCAGAAACACCTGCGGCGCCTGGGCCTGCGGGACTTCCCCTGCGGCCTGGGCAGCTGGGTAGGGGCTGGGGGCACAGCTGCGGGACAGGGAGCATCTGGAGGGGTTCTGCAAGGCGCTAACTGTTTCTCCACTCTCTGCAGAACAAGTCCCGCTTTGTCACGTATGCAGGCTCCTCAGGGCAGGAGGAGGAGAGGCTGCTGGGTGAGGAGAGCCCTGAGGCGCTGCTGGAGCTGCTGCGGGACCCGCGCAGCCCCTGGGCCCTGCCACCAGGCTGCAGCCCCCAGGACCAGCGCCTGCGTGAAGTGGCAGTGCTGGCTCCCCAGCTCACCTGCGGCACCCGTGTTCTCCGGCTCTTCAGGTCCCTGCGGATTGTTGGCAAGGATGTAAGTACAGCGGGATGGCAGACAGGGATGGGCTGGTGCACACAGCACTGCCTGTCTCCAGGCCAGGAAGCCGTGTCTTCCTACTGAAAGGGAAACCATCTTGGGAAAAACAGTTTCCCCAACGCAGGGTCTCCCCAGATTCTTTTATTGCAGCTGGAGTAGAGCTTCTGGCTTCCCTGCTCAGTTTGTTATGCACTAACCTGTGTTACACACTTGTGTGGATCAGCACTACGTATCTGTCAGTTCAGCTTAGGTGGCATGAGATGTCTCTGGGACACTGCGACCAAACCTAGCTCTTTGCAGGTGGAGGAAGTCGATGAGGAACTGTTGCAGTTACAGCACCTGGAAGAGCTCATACTGTGTGCCAACCAGATCAGCAGGATCACCTCAGCCAACCTGCCCCGAACACTGAAGGTGAGCAAGCAGTGCCTTGTGATGATGGGATGGGGAGAAGGGTCCCACCTGGGAATGCCACACAAGTTGAGCAGCTCAAGACAGATCGTTCCAAAGGGTGTTTGTTGTTCAATCTATTCTGGGCAGGTCCTGGAGCTCTGCTGCAACGCCGTGTCTGATCTGCAGGGTCTGTGTGCTCAACCTCCTCCAGAGCTGCAGCACTTGGGGCTGGGATACAACAGGCTGCATGGCCCTTTGCAGGACAAACACCTCACTGCAGACTTCTGGTAATGCCACAGCCAGATGTGTGCTCCTGAAGGCATGTGAGCAGATGTGAACAGATGACCTCCAGCCATCCAGGGGCCTGCATTAAGAAATTACAGCCCTTCAGCACCCTGTTTGGCACAGTTCCCATGTTTCTATGCATTTCCTTTTTCCCATGCTCTTCCCAAAGGCCCTGCTGGGAGTCCTCCCTGAGGAAGGGCCTAAAACTTAGGCTGTATCACTGACTGATGTGGTGGGGTGGTTAATGGATGCTAGAGTAAAAAGAGGCTTAATTATGGGGCAGACTGGCAGTGGATTGTGTGGCTCAGGAATTTGGAATTGGCTGCTGGTGCATTCTCCAGTTTGATTCAGTTTGTGCCACTGCAGGTTCTTACGCGGAGAAATCACAATTTCTGTTTCTTTTCTTGATCCTCAGAGGGGTCTTGTTTGCCTACCCTCATTAATGGATTTTCTCCTTCAGGCCAAATCTCATCTCGCTTGACCTGAGCTTTAATAATCTAACGGATCTGCTTGGGCTGGTCTCCCAGCTGTCCAGTCTGAAGAAGCTCCGCACCCTGGTGCTCCAAGGGAACCCACTGGCTCTCATTCCCGCTTACAGAGGCTTCGTTGTGGACAGCCTGCCCAAGCTTTCCTTCCTTGATGACATCCACATAGGGCTCGACGAGAGGTACCAGTTCCGTGGCTTATCGAAGCAGCCAGGTGAGCCTTTGTCTTAAACGTACTGGTGCTGAGCCCAACATTCAGTAAGTGGCTTCATCATGGTGGAGCTAGGAGACCTCAGGACTTACTGCATCCAGGATTGCCTGTCTTCAAAAGATCTTTCTCTGAGTCTTTTTTTTACCCCATCTGTGCAATGAAGGCAGCAATGCTGCAAATGTAGCAAAAGACAGTGAGAATCAGTTATCTGCTATCTGAAACGTACAAAGTACAAGATTAAAAAAGTTTTCATGCTAATTGTGTGACAGGAAGATAAGTGAGGGTTGTGTGAACCATTACTACGTTGGATCAAAATCTGCCCTGGCTCGTGCATCCAGGATCCTCGCAATCCAGGGATTTGGCACGTGTGTCTCCTTGTGGAAAACTCAGCAAGAAGGGAATGGCTGTGAGCAGGGTCTCTATGCCAGCTGATTCCCTCTGATTCTTCTGGCCCTGCAGAGAAGAGGCTGGAGGAGGAAGTCTGTCATGAGGAAGTGCTCACCCAAGGCTGGTCTGGAGCAGGGTGTGAACAATCCAATCTGGTTTCCGTAGCACTGGCTCAGTGTCATTGCCTGCCCCTGTCTTTGCTTTCTAGACCTGTCTGGTTTCACACTTTGTGTTTCCTTCTTGAGCTACTGAAAGAACATCATCTGGGAACGTGCTCTCGTGTTGCACTGCCAGCACAAATCGGTGCCACCTTTGCATGTGGCAAATCCCAGGCAGGGGCAAGGGCAGGGGGCTTCAGTGGGTGGGAAGGCCTTGATGGCCCCCCACTTGATGATGTTATGCTCTGGTAGTGCGTTATTGAGTCAAAAATGTTAAACAAGAGCCAAAGCAACTGAGCCAGATGTTGTGTGTGGCTTTGGAGTGACCTCATGTGGCTGTGGCTCGTCACAGCGTCTGCAAAGGAAGGCAGGGAGTTACGCTAGGCAGTAGAATTTGACATCCTGGATGTTTCTGCTTGTTCTGTGCTTTTCTTCCTCCTAAGCAGGGTTGTTTTCCCTTTAGAGCTGATAAAAAATGAAGCACGAGTGGTTGTGAGCATTGGGAAAATCAAGGGAGTTCCTGATCCTAGCACACTCCAGGAGCTGGAGATTGGGTCTGAGGCACCAGTGATCACCTACAGCTACTGTGTGACCTACGAGTTTGCAGCAGAGGAGACTGAGGATGGTGGCACTGAGGTTGGTGCTTAACTGAGCTCCTGAAAGCAATAGGCACTGGCAGGCCACGGTGGTGGGGACATCATCTCCAGAATGCAGAGCGAGACCATTCATAATGAACTACCATGGGCAACTGTAGTGCTAAGAACAGAATTCACACCTGGCCACATCCAGCAGCACCAGTCTATGCTGACCACGTTCCCTGTCTTTTCTGGGGAGCACTGTTCTGCACATGGAAGAGCATTTACAGCTCTCCTACTGCTGAGTGCTGCAGATCACTCTCCGATACTGGTGCCACTGTGCAGCTCACCTTTCTCTGCCCTTTCTCCTGGTGGCTGGAATGGGCTGGGGAATGGAATTTCAGAGGCATGCTGTCTTTGAGCCTGATGCAAGCACAACCAGACAAGCTCTGCCAAGAGGGAACATCTCTGTTCCAGGTAAAAATTCATCAGAGTCCTGTGGTGGCCACTCTGGATGTGGACAACTCTGCATGGGACTTGAGGGAAACAAAGGGCCAGCAGGAGTGTGCAGCCATGGAGGACCCTGCTGCACATACTGGTAATGAGGAATTACAAATCCTACATCCCCTGGCCAGGGTGGTTTATGGCTTTTCTAGAAATGTGGCATCAGCGCATCCCTTGTGGCATCAGCCACAGCTAGGCTGTTACTGAGGTTGGTGGATAATGAATTGGCATTGGTGTTGTCCTGGAGCCATTCCTGTCCTCAGGAAGTAAAGGTCTCTCTTCAAAAATCTTTGTCTTTGCACAGCAAAGGTGTTTGTCACCCCTGGAGAGCCCTGGGCAGAAACAATTGACTGCAGCTACAGAAAAGAGCACACTGCCAAGGATTTAGTGGGGCTGAAGGACTACCTGCGAGCTGGAACGATTGTCTCGGTAGTGGAGGAGAAGGTGGGCACGTGGAAGGTCTGGTGAGAGGGACAGGGAGGAGAAATTGCTGCCGGGGGAACCGGCAGTGGCATTAGAGGGCAGACTGGACTCCCTCTAGGAGGCAGCATTGCGCAGTCCTGCAGTACCTCTCTCCTGCAGGTGCTCTCGTGGCCGGTCAGTGCTGACTCCGAGGAAAATGCAGTAAAAAGTGGGAAGGAAAAACGGGGGCTAAAGAAGGACAGCGCCAAGGTAGGATGCTGGGAGGGAGCAATGTCCAAATACCATCTGACCTGTAGGAATAGCGATGAGGGAAGGACAGACCTTCTGTGTCAGTTTTGGGTGGGATGGTTTTCCTCCATCCTATACCTCTAGCCAAGGTTTCTTGTGCTATGGAAAGAAGGCAGCAACTAGTAGTATGCATTTTGGATGTAGATATGTGGGCTAAGGGCTGGGATGGAATTGCTTTCTGTCTGATATAGGGACCCAACGCACAGCTGACACTTGTGTCTGTACTGGTGCCCTGCAGGGTCCTGGGCCCAGAGACAAGCAGAAGAAAAAGAAGAAGAAGCCACGTGAGCTTCGCAGTGACCCACCTATTCAGAGGATCCTGGGCTCTGAGAGGGTGGCCCTGGATGCCTTGCTGGCCACTGAGACAGTGGTGGCAACTGTGTGTGACTTTGGGATCCTCATCACCGAGCAGCTGCTGCAGTCACCGAATCAGGAGGAGAAGCTGGTAAGGAGATGTCCTAGGGGGCAGGGAGACGTGGCTGAGGAAGGGGCTCAGCACATCCTGCCCTGCAGCATCCTCACATCCATCCCTCAGCTCCCTTCTCCATGAAATCCTCCTGAAATAACCTTGCTGGAGAAACACCTATCCATGTAGGCATTGTTATTTAATGTTATATTAGCAGTAAGTACTATTATTTTTCATGGGCCTGTGTTAAGAAAACAGATGACTCTATTTTTCCATCCAAAATGAAAGCTTTTGCTTCTTCCGATGCTCTTTCTCTCAAAACAACAACACACAGCAGCTGTTCTGAGACTTGCTGTTTCCTGGAGTCCCTTCTCTTCTCCAAGCATCTCTTCTGCTATGTTCCTGCTTTGTCATGCCTTTCTTCAGCTGTTTGAATGCCGGTGACAGAACCCAAGCAGCAATGGCTGTCACAAGATTGAATGAGGGCAGCGAATTTCGACACCGCCTGACTGTGGAAATGTCTGTCTCCACAGGACAAGAAAAAAGGCAAAGACAAGAGCAAAAAAACAAAAGCAAAGAAGGAAAGCCAGAAAGCCACAGCGCCTGCCAAAGGTGACCAAGGGCTGACTGGGCAGAGCAGTATGTGTGAGCAAACAGCAGCAGTGCCCAGTCCTGCAGCCAGCTCTGCGGAGCTGGGCACTAACTCAGGTCCTGAGCCCTGGCTGTGAATGCTGCCATTGATGCTGTGGGACAGGAGGGTTAGGCACACACCCGGGGACCTTGTTGTGTCTGGGCACGCACTGAGGGTGGGCTGCTGGCCTGCGTCCTGGGAGCAATGAAAACTCATGGCTCCTTGAGCCAGGGAACAGGGCAAGGCAGGTTGTGGGGTGAGATATTTGCTGCCTGTTATTTCAGCTGCCAAAAGCAGCCAGTGGCCTGGAGTGGTGCGGGCTGCTGGAGGGGTGATGTCTGGGATACACAATCAGGTCCTCATCCATTCCCAACTTATGTCTCAGAACACTTTGCAAAGAGGATTATTGTTCTTTCTAGTTGAGAGACGAAATGCACAGAGAGCCCTGGGTGCCCTGGCCTGGCCAGGAATAGACTCCACTCTGCTGTCACACTCAAAGAGGCAACCTGTCCCCTGCTCCTTGGTGCAGAGCTCATGGTTGTTCTGTCACCAACATTGCCTGGGCTGCTGGATATAGACCTCACTCTGCCTCTTGCAGGGATTTATTTTTTTGCTACAGAAACAGCAGCACCAGCACACCTGTGCAGGAGCAGGAGGAATTTTGAGAAGGATGAGATAGCTGAGAACGATGCTGAGAAGTCACTCGTGGGTCAAGGAGGGCTGCCTAAAAGAAGATTAAACCCCTTGAATCATCACTGTGCAGGTTCCCCATCATGCAGTGCTCATTTGCAATATGTGCTCAAATTGCAGCTGAAGTAGTGAGATGCTGTCATGCGACCGATGCTTTTTTCTTCTGTTCCACATGAGTGCCTGTATTGTGTGCATGCAGCAGCCCTTCCTTCTAGCTTGAGGAACAAACCCTGTGTGTTGGGGGTTGCATGGCCAGCACAGAGAGCAGCTGCTGATACAGGAAACACCGAGTGGTCAGAGACTCCAGGTTAATTTGGAGTCCCAGTTCCCTGGTGCAGGTTGGCGATGGCCACTGAGTGCATTTTTCAGAGCGCCTCAAAATCTGTTGAACCCGCAGCTCAATACCCCAGTGCTGACGGCCCCCGTGGCTGTGAGCTTCGCTGTGACTCATGCATCACTCCAACCACAAGGCTGTGGGGGCAGGTGGGCTGCTCGGTGTGTTGTGAGTCACCAAACCGCCCCGTGTCCTTTGGTTCCTTTGGTGTTCGTTCCCCACCAAACTGCTGTGGATTAATCACAGAATTGTAGGGGTTGGAAGGGACCTCCAGAGATCATCGAGTCCAACTCCAATCCCCCTGGAAATGCAGCAGCGGGGCACTGGGCAGCCTCCCAGCCCGGAGCTGAGGCTGATTTGCATCCCTCTGCCAGCACATGCACACGAATAATAAATCCTCTTAGGGACATTGGGATCTCTTCCAGGCAGCTCAAAGAGGGAAGGCAGGGAGCTTTGTCTCGAGCAAACTATTTGCCCGGGCATTGAAGGATGTCTTCGGAAGTAGTCTCACGTAGGTCTCACTTTAACCCATGGAATGATTTAGTCCCATCTCTCTTTTTTTATTAGAAATTACAGAGCGATTTTTGCAACAAAAAGCAAAATTGCACGCAGATTGATTGCCTTCTTAAAGATGCTTATTATGCTAAGTCGTATTCAAATAGCTTTTCCCTCAGGGCCCCGCCGTGAGTGCTAACTTGGTGAGCATACCCCCATGCACACAGCTGCTTTTCAGGCTACAAAGACAGAGACTGATTTACTGCTTTCCACAGGAAAGAGAAAAAACAGACGTTCTGCTGAGGAGGAGGAGGAGGGATGTGGGATGCAGCCGGTGCCGCTGACAGTTGAATTCCAGATGCAGCTGCTTCGGTGGCCCGCGGCCGGCACCCAGCAAGGGGAGAGCATGACCGAGGCTGCAGGGAAAGCTCAGTGATGCGTCCGTAGCCAAAGAGCGAGCAGCAGAGGTCAGTGAAATAAAACCCGCAGGGATGCTGCCATGCTGCTAGTTTGGCTGAATCAGTGGGAATGGAGGATGGCGGTGGGGCTCCTGCGGGAGCTGCAGGCGGTGGGCGGGGAGGGACGTGGGTGTGAGGTGCGGCTGGGGGGAGGCTGGGGTGCGATCTGCGTTGTGCGGTAGGAGGCTTGAGGTGCAGTGCTGTGTGTGTGCGCGCGAGGATGGGGGCACGGTGTGCGCGTTCATCTGGGCTGCAGCGTGCTGCGTGTGCGGGGATCGGGGCGTTCGGAGGCGTCGGATCCCAGGGCGGGCCGGGGGGCGGATCCCGGGGCGGGCCGGAGCTCCTGGGCTGCTCTGCGCGGCTGCGAGCGGAACGCGGCCGTGCGGTTCTCAGTGAGTGTCGGTGCGGCTGCGGGACGGGCCGGGGCGGACCGAGCAGAGCCGAGGGGGAGCAGCGCGCCGCGGCTCCCGGCCGAGCCGTGCTCTCCCTGACCAACAGCTCCGGAGCCCGGCTCCCCGCTCGTGTCCTGGTCGGCAGCGCCTCGCTGCTGCTGCCCCTGCTCCGAATCCGCAGTAAGACCCAGAAAATTCGGGATGGGAACGGTGGGGAGTGGTCCCTGCGGCACCGGCTGCGGCATTCCAGCGTTTCGCTGTCCTTTGCTGGGATCGTGTGCTCCGCTCCGCCTGCGGAGGGCTGCGGCTGCAGGCATGGGTGCTCTAGGATGGGAAATGGAAAGTGTAAGTTGGCTCGGTTTCACTGTTAAATGCTTCTCTCTCCTCACTCGGACAGGGCCTGCATTCTGCACCAGAGGTTGCAATGTATCCCAGGATTAAAAGCCTTGCACTTTCTGCCTTTTCAGTCACGCTGCTGGCATCTCTTTTTTACATCAGGAGAGAAACTAAGCTGCTAACGTCACCAGAGGACCAGAAGGTGGATGTAGCAGATCCCAAGCCTTTGGTTTTGGGCAATGCTGAACCCAGCAACTGTTTGCCTGACTTGGCCGTTGCCAATTCTTCTGTCTCCCTCCCAGAGCTTCACCGCGTCTTCCTGACTTACAGGCACTGCCGAAACTTCTCCATCCTGCTGAAGCCTTCCAGGTGTAGCCAAGAGACCTTCCTCCTGCTGGCCATCAAGTCTGCCCCAGTCAATATAGAACGGCGGGTGGCAATCAGGAACACGTGGGGCAAGGAGGTCTCCATCGGCGGCAGGCGCGTCAGGCTGGTGTTCCTTCTGGGGCGCTCGGAGGCCAAAAACCAGGTGCAGCCACTGCGCCAGCTGCTGGCTTATGAGAGCCAAGAGTTTGATGACATCGTGCAGTGGGATTTTGTTGACAACTTCTTCAATTTGACCCTCAAGGAGCTGCATTTCCTCCGCTGGTTCGTGGAGGACTGTCTGAAGGCCAGGTTTGTGCTGAAGGGCGATGATGATGTCTTTGTCAACACTTATAATATTGTGGAGTTTCTCCGGGATTTGAAACCTGAACAGGATCTGTTTGTTGGAGATGTGATCGCTAACGCCCGGCCCATCAGGAACACAAAAATCAAGTACTTTGTTCCCGAGTCCATGTACAGAGCTTCCTTCTACCCTCTGTATGCAGGCGGAGGGGGCTACGTGATGTCCAGAACGACAGTACAACGCCTCCAGAGCACCGCAGAGGGCATGGAGCTCTTCCCCATAGATGATGTCTTTGTGGGAATGTGTCTGGCAAAGATGGCAGTGGTCCCAATGAACCACGCTGGCTTTAAGACTTTTGGGATCCAGAGACCTTTTAATCCTTTCGATCCGTGCTTGTACAAGGAACTGATGGTTGTGCACAAACTAAACCCAACCGAGATGTGGATCATGTGGACGCTGGTGAGGGATGACAGCATTAGGTGTGCGGTGTCAGTAACACACTCCTACAGAAGGGGCTGGAAGTGAAGCTACGGCTGAGCACAGTGGCAGCTGGCTGTTGACAGATACAGGGTACTTAAACTAAAAATCAGGTTGTGGTAGAAGTGTTTTCTACTAACAGGTTATACTTGAGCCATGGGGTTTTGTTTTGCAGTTGGTCTTTTTCTGTCAGTGGGTTACTGAGGTGGTTGAATTGTCATGGGAAGGGCTCATAGGTTGGAGATGCAGCACAGGAACTTGGCTTGCTTCCTCCTGGCCGTGCTGGAACCTGGGTGAGCCACAGCTGCCACAGGTGACATGAATGAAGTGCCACCTCCACTGGAGGCTCGCAACACTGAGACTGGTGTCTAATTTGTTCTCTTGTAGGGAAGCTCATGATGACTAATGAGTGAGTGTACTTGAAATTAATCTTTTGAAATCAAGGCAAGGGTAGAACAGAGGCCAGCGTATGCTGCTGTGTGCACTGCAATGCAAATCTACTGTCCCAGATCAGCAATCCTGCAGGTCCTACAGGACACCAGGAGAAAGGGAAAGGAGTGGGAAAAGGAAAACAAGGCTTGGAAACATTTTGCCTTAACACAGCACAGTGATCACCCACTGATGTGAGGGACTGGGCTCCAACTCGAGCCGTTTGATGTTACAGAAGGTTATTTCAGGCTGACTTGCACTGGAAGCTTTTGCACACTTTCTGATTGGGTTTCAGAGAAGTGTGTCCTGAGTGGTAGTAAAGCACAGTAGCTGCAGCTTTTCAGGCTGTGTGGGAGGTGTTTGGGATTTATTTGGTTTGTTTGGTTCTGTAATGTTGAATATAAATAAAATACAGTTTTGAAAATGTTTTTATGGGAATATTCGCGTGTCTCCTGAAAGCTGAAAGAACTACAAGCAAAAAGAGGCTGACATCTGGCACTGGGTATGTGCAGGAAGGAGCCATCAATATTAAAGAGGATGGGGTTATGTAGAAATGGAAACTTGCCACATCCTCCTCTGTTCTCACCCCCCCCCCCAGTCCAGACATGATGTACAAATATGGAATCAGCAATTCAGCTGAGTGCTCTGAGTAATTAATCTGAGAAATGATTAAATTGAAGCTAAGTCTTGCTTATACTTCTATGAAGCTTCTCAGCTCTAGGGTGTCGTGCTGTGTGTGAGCTGGCAGTGACCTGGAAGCTTTAGAAAAAATCTAAGGAAAAAGAGGAAGTGTACAATTACAGAAATCAGAGTGTTTTG